AATATTTTTTATTATTTTTTTAATTTCATGATACATCTGATTACCAGAACAATTCAATTAAGATAGCAGAGGCAGTGAATTCTTAAAAGTTTTATTTTCCTCAAAGCAACCATCAGAGCACACAGTTAAGATTTTCTTTTTTCTCTTTTTTTTTGTGTGTGTATGAGTACCATCAAATCGGATCTGACTGGTGCAGGAGGAGACTGTCCCTCCTTCTCCGGCAGAGCATCTGGTGGATTTGAACCGCAAACCTCTGGGATTGCAGTTCAGCTTCTTGCCAATAGGCCACCAGAGCTCCATACAGTTAAGATTTTTTTTAAATGCTTTTTTTCACAGAAGTGAAATAATGTAATGGTTTACATTATTGTATTTAGCTAACTTATGAATAAACAGAATTCTGCTTTTAAATGTATCAATTTTTAAAAATTAACTTTGTTGAAGAGGATGGTAACACAGTCAAAGGTAAAAAATCTGTGCATGAGGGTAAATACGGAAATTTTTTTTTCTACTCGAGTCTTCCATTTGAGACTATATTATTACCATCTCATGAATCCATCAAGAAATATTTTAGCATTTTAAAATGCTCTGAAACTTGCTTGTATCATTGAAAAACTTAATTTCTTTAAAAGGGTTATTAAATAAATAACAGATTTAATAAAGTCTCAGTGGACATCAAATAATTTAAAAGGCCCAATAATGATTCAATTGATGAATTCCTAGAATATTAAAGTGAGATGAAAAATGTCTCCAAATGAATTTTGCAGTTTCACTTACATTCCAAGTATGAAATTGTGACATTAAATATTTGAGACATTACTATAAACATTTACAAAGCTATCTTACAAAGTTATCAGTTTAAATAAGAAAGTGTAAGCCAAAAAAACATATTTTTCCTTTCCTTCCAAAAAGAAGAATGTTAAAAAGTTTGAAACTGAAACTGAACATTGACAGACACAGATTTAAATGACACTTCAGTGGGCAGTGCAGTACATTTAAAGGGTATTAGAATACAAAAGCAAAATATAGGCCTATTTACAACTTACCTACCTTTCTGACTGTATGTAATCTTTTTTTAAGAATGGCAAAAAACACAAATATGAATGTTGAAGATGGGGAAAAAAATCTAGGCTATTTTTATTATAAATCATTAACAATCAAAATGAGGGCATATCCTTGAATCTCTAATATTTTTTAATTCTTTTAGAAAAACAGAAGATAAGCATGTTCTATACTTTGATGGTATTATAACCTAATACAATTATGACTAACACACCCAATATATATATCTCCCAAAAAACAACCAAAATACCACCTCCAAACATAAGTTACAGGAAGGATAAACTAAAGACATACCTCACGGACTTTCTCGATAGCATAGGTAAAGATATAAGCAATAACAATCCATTCTTGAACTGAAGGTAAGGCGTCCATTTTCACAAGAACCACAAATGTATAAAGCATCAGAAACCCTAAATATGCCAACTAATAAAAAGGGAAAACATTAAAAAATAAATTATGATTAAAACATCTCCCCCCAAAATAAATGAAACCAGTAACTATTCCATGCCACTGTAATAAAATGGGACTGACATCAGGGTTGAGCAAAGACAGAAAAGGAGGGGAAGAATGATGTATATTGCATTGAAACAGATGAGGGAGAGATCCCTTTTTTAAAGGGATATATGAATGGGTAATCTTGTCATTACAGAAGTTTAGAGTGAAGGCTGCACTGTGGAGTGAACTTGGAGGGAGGGATTGCATAACAATGAAAGAGTTTTTCTATTTCTTTTCAAGGAGACAGTGAATTGGGGGGGAAGGGCTGGGCAGGGAGCAAAGTGCAACAGTGAATGACTGGAAACCCTAAGTTTCTGTAAAGTTTCATTAAAATTAATAAATTTTAAAAAAGTAGTGGTTAATCTCATTCATTTCTTAAATTGAGCACATCTCTCTATGAACACATGCCCTTTTATTAACTAGTAAAATCTGTTCTTTTCTAGAGAGAACAGCCAAATATGTGGCTGATAAGTAAATATATATTGATCTAATATGTTAAAGGAAAAAGTTATTACCTCACTGCTAAATGAAACCAAGTGGAAGGATCTGGATTAGTTTTCATAATCACTCAGCTACCCCAATTATCATGTATTTGTTTTGATTTGGTGGCTTAGTCTGTAGGGATTTATGCTTCTAACCCAAAAGTCACACCTCTCTGGTAGTTCAAATTTGCAGCTTTGTAGGAGAAAAACAGACAATCTCCTTCCATGTGCTTAGAGCCTCAGAAACCCAGTGGAGGGTCAGCTATGCGTTGGCTCCCACTTGACCAACTGAGCAATTAGTAAATTTCTGCCTTTCTGTTCATTGGCAGTTTAGATGATAGTAAGACAAATGTACTGCCTTTTTAAATGGAAAATGGCTTCTAAGTAAAGTAAAGGATATAAAAATTAGCATATACTGTAACTCAAAGGTCTTTTAAAAATAAAATGATCAAAACCATACCGTGTTAAACCAGAATTTTACAATTGGTGCATGATAAAAGGCATAAAATTTTCGTGTGATTGGAAGCTTTTTTGATTTTATTTGTATTTCCATTTCATTTTTTCCTTCATTACTATCCAAAATCCTTATTTCTTTAAATACTTCATAACATATCCTAAAATATTACTTCTATACATCTATAATTTTGGTGTCTTCTTACCATAGGAATCTCTTTTGTTATATTTTGAAAGTTGTTTTCACTATCTTCCATTGTCATTTGATGGGCATCTTGAGATTGTGGAATATGAGACATTTCAGCTTTAGTTTTATATTCCAGCATTAATATAGCAGGTGGAACTAAAATGCTTAATATAACCTAAGAAATTAGAAATGTACAGGGTTTCATTAAATTAATGACCTTCAAGATGATAATAAAAACAATAAAAGGTGATTAAATATTTTGTGATAATGCTAAAGAAAAAAATGTGTATTTCTTACATATACTATTTAAAGAGGCTAGCAAGGAATTATTTCAAGGAATAAAATATTTTAATATTAAGAAAGTAAGAATGTAGATAAGATTTAGTAATTACCATTGCCTTTTAAAAGAAAATAAAAAACAGACTAGGTTAGATTCCAGAAAATATATTTTGTTTAAAAAAAATCTAAAATCTGTGCTCGCTTCGGCAGCACATATACTAAAATTGGAATAATACAGAGAAGATTAGCATGGCCCCTGCGCAAGGATGACACGCAAATTCGTGAAGCGTTCCATATTTAAAAAAAAAAAAATAATCTAAAATCTTATGAAAGTGCTATGTGATTGTTTATCTTATCCCAGTATCTCTTTGGAAATATTCCATGTCATAACATGATTATTCAGCTTGTGGCTCTATAAATTCTAAATTTTAGGTATTACCTGAAAAATACTAAAACACAAAGAAATGATAATTGTAGATTAGGGTTTCTGTAGATTAATCTTCCAAAGTGGTTTTCAGTTGATGAATATTATTAGTTATGCAACAACAAATTTTAAGAACTACTTGTCTGATTTCTACCCTATTTCTGTACGTTACTTAACAAATGTAAGATAAAAAGCTCATAGCTTACTATGATGAAAATCAAAATTTCAAGCAAAATCTTACCCTTAAAAGTTTATATTTAGCCTAAAGTTACTCTTCTTAACCTTAAAAATCAAGTGAGCCTATACACTTCAAATAACAGAACAGACAGTGATAGATTTTAGAAGGTGATCATTCTTTCATAAAGCTACAATTCTGTTCACATGGCAGCTAGCTGAAGTCTGTAAAAAGCAGTAATCCCCTTTGCAGCGTTCATATTTCTGACTCAGGTAACACCTGGAAAGAGTTAATGAGGTGGAGGAAAAGGAGTCCAACATGCAATGTGCCACTTGGGAGTAAATGTCTGCCACAACTCCTAAGACTCTCATATTAAAAATAACTACACATCTGAGCTAATTCCTGTTTATCTATTCATATACTTTATTGAAAAATGTTCCTAAGTTATACCTTGTACCATGAATTCTTCCTCATATTCAGTCTTCCCATCCACATGTCCGACAACAACATTTGTGTACAAGTATGGGCTATGAAAGGTCTAAGCCTTGAAGAAACTGCTAATTTAAGGCAAGTTGAATTACTCCAGTTTTTCAGTTCGTATGTAAGTAATTTCATTGCCATGGTTTCATCCTGTCTGAAGGATTGTTCTAATAATTCAACTGCCAGCTGACCAAAATCACTATTTGAAAAAGAAAAATGAACATATATTCAAGATTACAAAATTAAAATTTAAAAACACTGTTCTTTCATTTCATTCAATCATTCATACATCTTTTGGTTTATAATATTAATCACAACTAGTTAATGTAATTAATTATAAATTACATGTCACCTTTCCCTTCTGCCAACTTATTATTTACAAAAACCAACACAATTTGTAAACTTTCACTCAAACAGAAATACATTAATAAATGAAAGCCTATATATAGTACAAATAAAGATTCTTTGCTTGATACTGTGGTTGTTTACAGATTGCAAAATATGCTGTAAAGATGATCTTGACAAGCCCATTTGTCTTCCTGTTGTTGTATGCAAAAAACAACCTGGAGTTAACCTCAAACAACTGGAAAATATTCAATGATATTAGAGTGGTTATTTCAGAATATGTTTGGATTCATCCAATTTGTTATTTTTAAAAAGAGGCGAAGCATTTTGTAGGTTAATCTACTTCCACATGTACAATGTTTCTGGAAGGATATTTACAAAAGTAGACACAGCTGGGCTGTCTCCAGGGAGATAAACTGGGCAACACCCTTCAGGAGAAATACAGAGATGGTTTCTCTAAATTTTATTTTATTATTTTTTTGTACGTGTACCGTCAAATCGGATCTGACTGGTACAAGAGGAGACTGCCCCTCCTTCTGCAGCAGAGCATCTGGTGGATTCGAACTACATACCTCTGGGATTGCAGTGCAGCTTCTTGCTCACTAGGCCACCAGAGCTCTCTTAGAGATGGTTTTTTTATACTATGTTATACACATATTCTTTTATAAAAAGAAAGAAAATAATCTGTGTTTATAGAAAACAACCTAAATTACATCTTCAGATGAAAAAAAAAAGTCCAATGAGTGTCTATAATATGCATGCTATTTACCAAGAGGTGAATAAATCATATGTATCTTTGCTTCTACATGCAAGAATACCTCTATAAGAACATACCAAAAACTAGTAGCATTGCTTTGCTTCGAAAGAACAAGAATACCAAGGGGACAGAATGAGGGAGATCTTTCACAAAACGCTTATTTGTACTTTGCACTATGTGCAAGAAAATAAAGGGGGGAGGGAAATCCTAAAATAAAAAGTCTATTATTTTTAAATTCATTCATAGCACTATTCATTTTTAATATGTTCATACACATTTATGAAACTATGGCATTAGAAGAGTAGATCTGTTTTTAGAGAAACACATCTCCCTAGATAACACAAAATACTGAATGAAATATATCACATTAAGACATGACTAGAAAGGTAAATCTACATTACTTTTTCTTGGACCTGAAAGCAAACTCTACAGTCTCTGCAAGGAATCAAAAGCGAAAATAGTAGTGCTCTGATCTTAGTAATACTTAGTGCTTTTCAAACACAGAACAGAATATCGAGTGTTACTGTAGGTTACTGTAGGTGTTGTAAAATCAACTATAACTCATAGTAACTTGTGAACAATAGATCTGATGCTTGCACTAACCCTCACCATTATCACAATCTGCCACTGTGCCAATCACTCTCTGAGGGACAAAGTTTTACCAAGGACAACTGTGGGTGCACTTTCTCCAAAACTATCGGTTTGTTCTTCCTTTCAGCAGTTCATGAGAAATTTAATCCTGTTCCCCAACATCACAATTCAAATGCATAAATAATTTTTCAGTTTTCCTTATTTGCTGTCCAACTTTCAGATGTACTACAGGAAGCAAATTATTTCTACCATCAGGTACTTCTTAATCTTTAATATCCTTGATCTTTAGCACTTTAAAAGGTCCTTCACAGATTTTCCCTATATTAACACATCTTTTGATTTCCTCACTGCTGCTACCATAGATACTGATTGTGGATGAAAGTAAAACAAAGTACTTGACAACTTCAGTCTTTTCTCCATCTATCATGATGTTGCCTACTGGTTAAGTGGTAAGGAATTTTGTTTTCTTCACTTTGAAATGTATTCCATATTGAAGGCTATGGTTTTTTGATCTTCACCAAGTGCTTCAAGTACTCTTCACTTTCAGCAAGCAAGAGTGTGCCATCTGCATAACGCCAATTGTTGATGAGTCTTCCTCGAATCCTAATGCCACTTTCTTCTTCAAATAATGCAGCCTCTTGAACGATTTGCTCAGCATACAGACTGAACTGGTATGAGACAGGATAAAACGACGACACAGACCTTTCCTAATTTTAAATCATGTAGCGTTCCCTTGCTCTGTTTGCACAATAGCCTTTTGACTATTAGTATAGGTTTCACATAAGAACAATTAAGTGTTCTAGGATTCCATTCTTTTCAATCCTAGGTAGAATTTGCTATGATCTAAACAGTCAAATGCCCTTGCATAGCCAATAAAACACAGGTAAACATCTTTCTAGTAGTCTTGCTTTCGAATCTGACATCTGCAATTACTATCTTTCGTACAATGACTTCTTCTGAATCAGTGATCCCTGTCAATAAACTGCTTCAGTTATTTTTTAATAAACTTCAGCAAGATTTTACTTACAAGT